ATTTTTTTTATCCTTTTTTGTGTTTGCTCTTCTATTTTAGTAGTGTTGAGAGATTTATCTTCTAGCTCACTAGTTCTGGCTTCTATCTCTTCAGTTCTACTCCTTTCCCCTTTCAGTGTATTGTCCATTTCTGATAAGCTATTATTAATTGTTTGGACCTCTTTCTGTAGGTTTTGAATTGTTTCCAATGCTGTATCTATCTTATTTGATTGTTCTTGTAGTGCTTTCCTGACTTCTTCCTCATTTTTACTCAACTCCATTGTATAGTGTTTTGATACATTTTATAATCATTTTTATGAATTCCTTCTCAGGCATTTCCAAAGTCTGCCCATCTTCCAGTATGGAGTGTCGGTTTACTTCCAGCTCATTTGCCTCACTTTATCTTGTTTCTGGACATGTGCTGATATGGTCATCTGCTTCTGTTTTGGGGGGGCATATTCAAGAGTTATCTGTGGCCTTAATACTTAGATGGGTATGTATTTTGGTATTTTTTATGTTTTCTGATTGCCTCCAGGTAGATGTGATCAGGAGATGGGCTTCCCTTTTCACTTTTCTTCCTGAGAAACTTCAAGATGCCACTATAGGTTGTTGTGACATAACTCAGGATTTAATTTTTGGCCTATTTTCTTTTCAGTCTGCCTGTCCAGCTCCACAATCCCCGTTCAAGCCTTTATTTCTAGTTATAAACAGTTCAGGGCCAGATGTGGCCATTTGGTTTTAACTGGAAACTGTCTCTTTAAACTTTGAGGAGATCTGTGCTCATGTGTAGCAGAACCCTCCAGGGGTGGGGGTGGGGTGTCCACTCACTCAGGCACCCCCTCCAGTCACCAGAATGGAGGTGCACAAACAGCAAGAGACCAATGAAGAGATACCAAAAAAAAAAGAAAAATGTCCACACCTTTATCTCTGCGGTTCTGTCAGGCGTCCGTGGCTGCTCTGATCCTTCCCCAGCTTGGTTGTGCCCAAGATGGCGGCTCTGGGAGCAGCTGAGAGTCTTGAATTAGAAAGCAATGGATTTCTTGCTTCTGCTACAAATTCCCCTAGCTGTAAGCCTTCCAACCTTCTAAATATTCCTTTATATGTAGTTCAAAGTTCCGGCACCATCCTCTGAGCCTGCTTGGTCCGGTTTTCTGTGTTGTTGCTGACAGAGCTCCTCACTGTACTTCCACCCAATCCGCCATCTTGTTCATTCTCCGAAGTTTTGCATAGTCTTAAATGAGTCTTTTAAATTGGACTTCTGAAGTGTTTCCATAGATGGTGCTGTTGTTGTTAAGTGCCATCAAGTCGGTTCTGACCCATAGCGACTCTGTAAAGGGTTTCGGAGAAGCAGCTGGTGAGCTTGAACCGCCGACTTTGCAGTTCAAACAGCTTTGCAGTCTGGCGCATTAACCCACAGCACTACACCAATAACGCATATAAGAGGGGGCTTCAAAACATTTGTGAAAAACTGGGATCAAAGATCACAGAATTCTTCCACAAACTTTTTGAAGCCCTCTTATATATAACTCATCTTTTATTATTTTCACAGTATATATTAAAAAATCAATAGAATCCTTTTCTGAGTATTAAAATTTATAATGACTTGCATGTTAAGACTAAATCTAGAGGTGATATGGGCCAAGAACTAACATTTATTAAGCAGTTAATTGGACACATGTCCACCACCGTGTAAGAAAATAACCCCCCCCCCCATTTAATGTAGTAGTAACTTTGTAAAATAAGTATGCTAGTATTGCCCCCATTTTACAAGTATGCTAATCACTTCCCTAATACCTCAGAGGTGACACAATCAAGTTTCAAATGCAGGCCTGCCCCAAATAAAGCCTACTCTCTTCACACTGTATCATATTCCTTCCCAACTGTGACTTAGAAAGGTCACAGTAAAGTTCAAACCACTGATGGTTTCTGGCCAACAATGATCTAAAATTAGGACGATTCCAACAGTGATAACAGTATTTTAAAAATCAACATGGTGATTCTAAATGGATGTTACTATTTCAACTCTGACAGTATAACTTATATACATAATTTCTAGGCACAAAAATTATGCAATTAAGCACACATATTAGTAATGCTAATTCAAGATTCAAGCATATTTTATAGCAACAAAACATGCACCAGTACCTTACTGCAAAAGTTATTAATTAGATATGCAATTACCTTTGGCAAAATATTCTTATCCTTTGATGGTATCGGCTTTTCAGCAAGAAAGCAAGTATTTAAATTAGTTGTACTAAAAGTCTTAGGTGTGACTCCCTTTAATGAAAAATCAGGAAAACTCATTTCAGATCCAAACTGAAAAGAAACCAAAAGGACACAAGTTACTGGCATCCTGAATAAAGTGACAGACATGATTAAATCTTAGAATAACGTAACAGTTGCCAGGAAAACTATAAAACCATGTCAATTTATTTTTGACTCCTTAGTTAAAAGTCTGGCTCTTCCATGTATGTATACATCCTTCCAATATTAACTTATTGTTGTTAAATGCCATTGAGTTGGTTCTGACTCATAACGACCCTGTATAAGGTTTCCGAGGAGCGACTGCTGAGCTTGAACCATCGACCTGGTGGTTCAAACCGATCTTGCAGTCCAGTGTATTAACCCACAGCACCACACCAAGACTCTGCAAGTTTTCATCAAAAGCCCTCGTTGGCCCTGGTCCCCAAAACCAAAACCAACTTCCGAGTCGTAGAAACCTTGTACAGGGTTTCCCGGGCTGTAAATCTTTATGGGAGCAGAAACCTCATCTTTTTCCCGCAGAGTTGGCTGGTGGGTTTGAACTTTCAACCCTATTGTTATCAGACCAGTGCTGATCCTACTGCACCCCCAGGGATCCTATTCCTTGACCCTGCAGCAGTACACAAAATCTGATAAGCCCTTTCATGCAACCACAGCACTAAACTTCCTTTACAATGCATCCCTGTTCAGTATCTGGCTTACCACCAGCCTGCAAATTCTGCAAAGACATAACCTGTCTATCTTATTTATTGCGAGATCCTTAGACCAGTGCCTCACATGCCCCTTGATTTCAAGAGATGTTGCTGATGAAAAGATGGATCTCAGCTGAGGGGCGGGGGGGGGGGTCATGATAATAACAATGACGATAAAAGTAGCAGCACATGAGTGGCTGCCATGTACGTTAAAGAACTTCACCTTCATAAAGAACTCTGAGAGAACAACTATAATCCTATCTTACAGATAGAGAAAATTGTGACATCGAAACTGAATTACTACTCAAGGTGTTTCAAAAATAGTAAGAAATTAGCTGGATGTGAATGTGGGCAAGGTGGCTCTGAGCCTGTCCTTAGTCACTCCATTGCCCCTGGGCTAGAAGCTGTTCTCCACCAAAAAGCAAGACGATGACCTCAAGTTTGGAATGCATGTTTTGGTTGTGTGGACACTTCACATCACAGTCATGAAGGAATGCCATGAAAAGAACTTGTCATTATCCATCTGTAAATAAGCAGGTTAAAAAAATGAATACAAAAGCAATTTTTATATCTAGTCCTATCTTCTACTACTTCACTGAGCTTTGTGAAGGTTAAAACCAGGTGAGGCCTTCCTCGGAAGGCGGCTGTTTATGCTGGACGTGTGGCTAGAGACTGGTAAGGATCACGTGGAACCTCGGCTACTTAAGACAGAGCCATTGCCATGCTGCAATGAGTTTCAATGACTGGTAAGACTGAGGAATTCGCACTG